ATAATAGATCATAAACCGCTAATATGCATCTTTTCAAGAGGCCTTAAGGAAGATACTTCCATGTCTATAAGGCTGCAGAAATGGAATATAGCGATAGGAGCGTACAATTATGATATAAAACATAGGGCGGGTAAACACAATATAGTACCTGATTGCCTCTCACGACTACCCTTAAAAGACATTGAGGAAACAATACACGAGCGAAGAATTAAACAAAAACAATTTATGGGATGTATCGTTGAACTCCGACAAAATAGCAGCGAGAACCATGCATGACAAAGAACTATCGCAGGTTATAAACAATGTGAGGAAAGGCGATTCAATAAAGAACACGACTTATAAAAAAATAGAAAATGAACTAAGTATAATAAAAAATTGTTTCTACAAGGCGGAAAAAATAGTGATTCCTAATAATATGAGAAAAATTATAAGGCAGGATCTACATGCCGGACACTTGGGAGCAGGAAAAACTAAAGCACTAGCAAAGAATTATTTATGGTGGCCTGGCATAAATGCAGAAATAGGTTTAAAGGTAAAAAACTGTGAATTATGTAATACGTGGTCAGATAACCCGAAAACCATACAACATTTATGGGCTCCAACACTTAAACCACTCGAAAGATTACATATAGATTACGCAGGTCCATTTTTTCAAAGATATTGGCTAGTAATAGTGGATGCATACAGTAAATATTCCATCATCACCTTGGTGAAATCTATAACCATGGAGAGAACATTAAAAGAGCTCATGAAAACAATAAGCTTGTTTGAGATACCAGGATAATTTTACCAGCAAAATATTTAAAATTTTTTGTTATGATCACGGTATAAAGCATGTACTAACATCAGTTTACCACCAACAATCAAATGGACAGGTGGAAAGGATGGTTAGGACATTCAAATTGAGTATGAAACGTAATATGGAGGACAAGAACACAGATGCTGATATAGCGCTAGAAAAGTTTTTGTTCAATTATAGAAACACACCTACTACTACTACGGGCATTCCACCCACCAAATTAATGTTCAATTATGAGACTAGAACCAAGTGGGATCTATTGAAGCCTACGTTTATTATTAATGACGATATTAAAACTAAGACCATTATTTCTCCGAATAGGATCATTAACTCAGGGGATAAGGTATGGTTCAAAGTATTTGGCGAAAACAAATGGGATAAAGTTACTATCAAACTAAAGCATAGCGACCTTTTATACGAAGTCGTCACAGGTAACCGCATCATAAGACGGCATCTGGATCAAATAAAAAAAAGATCATATGACACGACCAAAATTAATGATCACGTTCAGGAGGATTTCTTCAAGGGAAAGGATGTTTCAGTACTTCAATACCGATTCTTATTTGAATATCGCCAAGACCGGTTCGAGCATCAAAAAAACAGAAATATAAAGATTTTATAATGTCCATGACATGTATAAGACATAAAACACTTGGAAAATACCTAATAAATAGTACATTCTACTAGAAATAAATTCAAACGTCAAACTAAAACCCAAAATATAAAGATAAATATAAAAATAAATTTAATGCAAAATATAAAAATAAACCAAACTAAAACGCAAAATTTTTAAAAATATATAAACGTAAACGCTAAACTAAAATGTGAATCACATATCAATTATTGAATTTTATTTTATTATTCCAATTTTATCATTCTTAATTCCTATTTAATTAAATATTCTACTAATACATTCTATATTCCAATTCCATTATTCTTATTTGACTTTCGACAAATTATTCTATACTATACGACGAATTGATGATAACGATTTGAACAGAACGGGATCGAGGATAGAAGGGATAGGAGAACGTACAAAAACAACAAACGATTGGAAGCGAGTTCCACGATGACTGCGAGGAACACAGAAAGAACGAAGAAAGAACAGAAGGGAGAATGTTTTTACATTTGAAATTTATTTTAAATTATATTAACCTACGGACTTGTTATATTATTTCTTTCACTTAACATAATATTAATCTAATAGTTACATTGATTGTTAGTTACTTTTGAAAAGTAGTAATATAGAATTTATTAGGTTAATAGTCAGTTAGTTATATTTTATAATAAAAAAATTTTAAATAAAGTAATTTTGTATCAATATCTTTTTTAATTTTTACGCCATATTAGCATTCACAGTATGGGATGAACATATGAATTATAAAAAAATTATATATATAAACCGGCACATAAAAAACTATAAAATAAATGTGAATTAAAAAATATAAATTGAATATAACCACCATATGAATCACTTTGACCCAAAATAGATATTTGAATTTACCCTTTAAAATTTATATATAAAGTATAAAAAATTTAAATGTTGGAAAATATTTATACACAAAAAGTTTCTTAGGAATAATTGTATTTTGTATTATATTTACAATGTAAAATCCAATCTTCGTTAGGAATGAGCTAATTTTTCAATTACTCATCCTTGCATGGCGTCAAATGCCTATAAATATTTAAAAGATCCAAATCATTCAATCCACTTTCAGAAGTTGTACTTCTTAGATATGTTTTCCAGAAAACTGCAGGCCCGGTTCCCAGGCCGAACCGTATTTTAAATTTTTAAATATACCCGGGCCGGGCCCGAATTTTTAAAAAATATATCCGGGCCCGGCTATATATTTTAAAACCAAATATTTAAAATTAGCTATAAAAATTAAAAATAAATATAATTTATTTAAAAATATCCGGACCGGGCCTGAAAATTTTTTTAAAAAAAAAGCCGGGCCAAGCCTGAAAATTTTTTTTAAAAAAAACCCGGGCCGGACCGAAAAATTTTTGACAAAAAAATCTTGGCCCTACCCTGCAAATGGTATCTCTGCAGGGCTCTGTTATTCTTCTTAAAAAAGAGAATGTTCTCTCATTAGTTTACTAATGGGAAGATTTGCTAATATATATATAATCATTTTAATACAATGGGAATATAATCTAAAATGTGTTTGAAATTATACAAAGCATCCATAGAATTTTTTGGGACTATATCTTAGTTAATCTTTTAAACATAGTTATTCAGCTAATAAGGCATCAAACAAATATTATTTTTTTCTATCACCATCTGAATAAGATTGGGAAGGCTTTTGTGGAAGTAATATCTGTAGATTGGTAAGTGCTGCATGATGAATTAAAAACCATTCATTTATTTAAACTATAGTTTTATAATACTTTTCTATTGATCTTATACTAATGTTTTGACGATGAGCTTGCCTTGAAGCAAGTCGAGGGAGACAAATATTAAACACGTATAGCTCTCCTTTTGACTCAGCAATAACATATAAAATTGAAATTTTCATCAAATTAGCTAATTTCTTGAGTTCTAATAAAATGCTCTCCGCTATTCTCATCTTCTTAATCAAGTCAATGCCATGTTTTTGAAAAGTATTACATAAAATAGTTGTATAATTAAATAATACATTCTAATGAGAAAAATAATTTGAAAATTGAATCCAATAATTTTCTTGCTTCTGAGGAAATATTTCTATCAGGTGTGATATTTCAGTAATAGCATTAATAATCGGCTCTTCTAACTCCATAAAAGCTGTTACTGCTTGATGGCGGAGACTCCATCTCGTTGGACAAGCTTGCACTTTCTTTCTCCCTGTTGGATAAGGAGTTTCAGAAAAATTATTATTTGACTAGAAATATAAAAATGGTAGATAAATATTACGCCACTAGAAATTTGAAAATAATAGGTAAATATTACGCCAATGAAAACTTGAAATCGAAATTAATTGGTAAAATAATTTGATAGATGAATGTGATAAATAGATGTAATTAAATATATATATAATATGAGATAAGAATAAATATTAACAAATATAAATTAATATAAACATTAATATTTTTGAAAAATATATCCGGCATCTACATTTTATGGATATGAAGGGGGGGGGATTTGTCCCCCTGCCCTTCCCCCCCCCCCCCGCTGCGTACGCGCCTGCAAGTGGCTGGACTAAAAGCCTTCAGAAATGCTATATATGTAAGTAAAGAATAATATAAATGGCAATAAATGATAGTTTGTGTAGATATATCATATAAATAAAATAACCAGGGTCAGATAATTTGGGTTATATAGGAATAAATATTTGGATATATAGAAATAAGAATCGGATCGTTCCTTTAAAAAAAAAGCAAAACAAAGCAACAGCAATAATAATAATAAAACCGTGCGAATCATAAACTTAAAAACCCACTCCCAGGGCTAAATCTGATGACGATGATGGTCAATTAAGCATTGGTATATACGTTGATGTCAATCAAGCTTATGGTCATACTCAAACAAGAATGATTGAGGACGTTATTGATGGCTAAATGTTCAACAGTACGCCAAGAAACAATAAAGGAGATGACACCTAAGGATACAACATTAACATATTGTATTAATTGTTGTTAAATATAAAGTATTATGTACTCTGTCCAAACATGTATATTATGGGACATTTTTAAAAATATAACGCTGGACCCGTTTAGGGTGGGCGAGTTATATTTGCTTAATTAAAAGAAAGACAAAAATATATATAATATGTAATTATAAATAAATAATTTAATTTTTGACCATGTTTTTATTTACTTTATGTGAAAGAAATAAATACAGTGGCAGCAAAAGGATTCATTTTTTTTAATGGAAAAAGATTGCAAGTATATTATATTTGAAAAGATCGCCATTGATTTTGTATTTGAAGAAATATCGCGATGATTTTGGATGTATATAAATTTTATGGACAAATTGATTACAAAATAAATATGAATTATTTTTAATATTGAATTCAAGGTAAAAGGATATTATTAATATAATTTAATATAATAGCATATAATAAGTTAAGTTTCTTTTTAATCAATTAGGTTTCATTTTAATAACAATATAATATTGTCTTTAAAATATATAATCATATTTACCCTATTTTAAAAAAAAGAAATAGTTAAGTTTTATTTAGAATTTTAGAGAGCATTAAAAAATATTATAAGACAAATTTACCGTTTACAGAGGAAGTATCTTCCCACATCAAAGTTTTCAACCATTTGTCCTTTAGAGAATTTTCTTTCTTAATCAATTTCGTCACCAACTTAAAATTTCCAGGTTTAATTTCGGGTTCATCCATAAAACGGATACAACTATTTTTGATAGAATCGTTAACATAATTTCTAATCATAGTTTCTGACTTGTTCGAGTTCGTGTGTTTACATCTATCTTTTTTTGACTCAGATAAGATGTTTACATTAATATTTCCATTAGTCATCATCTTATATGGCTCGATTGCTGATTTTGATATATTTCTTGACTTTAAAATATTATCGGTCAAGAGATCTTCATAATTAAATTGTTTATAGAATCTCAAGTATTTATAATAATCTTGTATTAAGATATTCTGCATATTATGTAAATTATTTGGATTAGGAGGGTTTATCATAATATTACCATTGTACATATTGTAATCGTTCATTCCCTTTAAATGTTGCAATTTATTATGCCGTTGAAAGCAGGTATTGGAGCTAGCGGAATCAATGGGCATATTAGATATATTATATAAGGAGTTGTAGAATATGTGTAGATAATTATAATCTAATGGCGGAGACTGACTGGTTAGCTTAACACGATCTTTGCATTTGTTCTCAGTTTTGTTGCCATAGATAGTATTTTTATTAAAGCACTTCCCAAAACTCATTGAACCATTTTGATTATTCATGATAATATTCTGAAAGTATTTAAAAACGTATTCACTGTCTTTTACATCATTTTCACTCCGATCGATTTTATCAATTAACGGCTTCTGTTTATACGGATCCCCATTGGAAATAAGAATATCTTTTTTAATCGATGAATTGGAAGATCCCAAATTTTGATTTATTAAGGATGTACTCATATTATTTATTGTTTAATGCGATTGTAAATATAATTAATTTTAAAAAAATTATTTTATAAGAGATTATACAACTCTACTCATTTTTTGATATTAAATCTTTAACTTTAAATTTAATAGATTAAATGAGGGAATAAATTACATATGAAATGTTTGATTATTTACTTGGGGAACTTTTTAATTTTTAAATATACTGGGAGATTTTGAAGATATCTCTTCCTTTTATATTAAATTACAAATTAAAATTGTTACTTAAAATAGATATAAAAGGTCACCATAATTTAATTTGAATTTTTGAATTTTTATAAATTAATTCTTTGTGTTATAAAACGATAAATACTATAAAATTCCAGTTATCAAACGAATTCTGTCATCCGTATTTTCAATATACAAAGTTGCCATTCACCCTCTTGATTGACAAAATATTTGTGACTCGCATCACATTTTATAAACAAAAAAAAATATAATAATTTTTTAATCTATTTTTTCTAGTCTCCCATCTTCATATTTTTTATATTGTCTTTTAATTTTTCAATTTTTTTTTTGTTTTATGCTTTTATTGATTTTTTTTTAAATACCAATTTTTAGCAATTTTTTTCTGGTCAATTTTTTTTTTGAATTAATAATTTTTTTGTTTTTGGATGAATTTGTATAGAATTTTTTTTTAAAAAAATAAATTTTTTATTATCGCTAAATTTTGAAATAGATTTACTTAGTTTTTTTAAATAATGTATGGTTAAATTGAGATATAACAAAAATTTCGTTTTACAATATTTAGTGGATTAATTTTGGTTATAAGGCCATTTATTAGACTCGCTTAATTTATATTTATTAGTCAGTATGTGTAAAATTCTGAAATTTTAAATATTTACTTACAGAGATCTTTTATTATAGTTCAATTTTGTTGGGCTAAACCCGGTTCAAAATTCATATTTATTATTTAAAGGCTAATTTTTTTAAAAAATTTTAATTTAGACGAAAAGGTCTCACTTAAGCATTTTAAAAAATAATAAATTTCCTCAATTTTTTATATTTTTCATTTTATCTTAAATCTTAAAGCCAATTTTAGAGATTTTATTATTTTACTAATGTTTTTTTTGTATATTTTCTACACAATTAGAAGTAATAAAATGAAATATATATTTCATAAGATAGGTATTCAAACATAATAAAATATATTTTAGGCAAAATTCGATTTTTAATTTAAAAAAAACGGGCTCAAAAAATGATTTAAAGTTGTAAAAATAGCACATTGCTGGAAAAAGCATATTGACGCTAACATATATACTAATCAAGCATTACATATTGGCTTAATTTAAGCTTTTGATTAGTGCCATCAAAAGTTTGAGCATCATGTTAAATTTTTGAAAATACAACTAGATTCATAATATAATGATAAATTTTACAATTTCATTTCCATATCTATTAAATAAACAGAAAAGAATAAATAGTATCTATAAGGATCTTAGAATCATAAGATTTGAAAATATTTCCAATATTTAGATGTAAAATTAATTTTTCAATGGTGATTAAAATCCGATATTAAACTGCGACTTAAACCCTGAATATTAGTTTTTATTTCTTTAATAATTCAATCTCAGTTAATAGGCGGAATTATGGATTAAATGTTGGGGCAACCCAGATATTTGATTCTTATTTTTGTTCTAGCTTACTTATTTTGCTGATAATGCCTTTTTTCTTTGGATTATCTACTAACCGGGTTGAAGCACTAAATATATAAGTTAAATTTAAAAATTGATGCTAGTTTGGTTGACTTCTTGCTTAAGGTGTAATATCATATTTTTATTTTGCCTACAATTCGGCTACTTGGTTATTGTTTTCTTACTTTTTCCAATAACTTTTTCCCCTTTAAACCATCTAAGAAACAGCTTAGATAACTAAAATATACTAATTATGCCCTACTCAATTAAATGTAAAATTCAGAATCAGTAAAAGCTTAGCTCACTTCACGTTTAAAATGTGTAATCATGGTTATTTTGTTTTATTTTTTGGTTGACAAGCTGATTAAAGAATTAATAATACTAATCAAAATATTACCGCAAGATAGATATTTAGTGCCACCATAATTTTTTATTCTGACATGATTCCAATTTTGACAATTTATACTAATTAGAATATTACCAAAGCTAGTTATTTAGTGCTTCCATATTTTCTATTCTGACTTGATTCCAATTTTGACAAATTTTTCTTATTATGCTAATAACCTTTTCCGTTATATTATTAAAATAATAAAACTAATTACGAATTGATAAAATTTTCAGAATAAATCTTTCAGTCAATTTTTAATCGTATGGTTGCTGATAAAAAAAATTATTCTTAAATATACTGATTACGATACTGTTTAAAGCCCTAATAAAGCACGGAATATTGGCAAAGATTTTAGAATTAAACTTTAAATATTCAGCCAACTTCACGAAGATGGTTAAAGATATTATACAATACAAAATAAAGATACGTGCAAATATAAAATATTTTAAACAAAATCAGAATTTTCATGGGAAGCCCGGCTGAAGTTGGTAAATAAAGGTTTAGAGACAAAGAACCCAAAAATTGATAACCCCTTCTCTTAGATTATAGCTACGCCATTGCTTCTCCCTAAGACTTTTTGATATTTAAGTAATGATAGGTCTAATTATCCAACTCTTACCATCCTACCTATAAATAATATGGAAGGGACCTAGTTTTTTAAGATGAAATGAGAAGGCATTTTGAAATTTATAATTTTAAAAGCTCAATTCATAAGTGAAAGGTTATAATTAAGCGTTATTATAATACTACATTCATAAAATTTTATTGCATATTTGATTTCTTTTGATATTGATTTATTTTTATCTTTTATAAATAAAATCGAATGTGTCTTTGTCAGACTAATTATAATTTTTAAGTATACGAGAATGCCAGACAATTCCCCTCCCTCCCCTCCTCATCTCTCCTCCAAGACACAAACAATACCTTTGAAAAAATATATAATCTTATAAAAATCTTCAAATTTATTTGTTTATTCAAAATCAGAAAAACTCTACACGATAATTTAAAATCTTTATTCTAAGCATTTAATATTTGTTAGAATTGAAACATCTTTGCCCCCTGCCTTTATTTATGTCAAGGCAAAAAATATCTTTCAATATATTTTTTTATGAATTATAACTATAATATATTTTGAAAAAACGAATAATTTGAATCGAATAGAAATACTAAATTTTATTATATATATATATATATATATATATACAAATATGATGAATCGAATGCAAATTATTTGATTCCGAATCGAATACAAATTATTTGATTCCGAATCGAATACAAATAATGTAGTATTCCATTCGTTTCGTATTTATTGAATAGGACTAATCCATACTTTAGTATTCAATTCTGTATAAGAATAACGGATCAATAGCTTTTGGATTTTATATAATTTTATTTTGTTGCAAACATAAATATCTTATTTATAAAATTAGCATAACTTTTAGAGCGTTTCTTCCAGTTTAGTAAAGAATTTAATATATAGTTTGTAATATTGTAAAAAATATTCTTTATTGTTTATTTTCCCAAAAAGATTAAATTATTCCAATTCTATTTAATAAACAGATTGTGAATTATTAAGTGATTAAAAATTCAAAAAAAAAATTATTAACATTTATGGTAATTTTTTGGACAATTTTTTTTTCTGATACTTTTAAATATTCAATCCAATTAAGATAAATTATTATAATATCAAAAGTTATTTAAATTTCAAACAAAATATTTATAAAAAATAAATAAATCTGGTAATATTAATTTATGACCAGTAGTTTTTTCGAAGGATGATTATGAGTAGTTTTATAATTTTATAAAGTTTTTAGTAATTATTATCCGAATATAAGATAAATTAAATTAAATTTTTTCAAAATGTTATTAACTACATTAACTAAGTAAATAACATTTCATAATTAGTTATAAGGATATTGGAATCGATAGGGGGGGAGGGCAAAGGGTTGCTATTTTTAATTTTTGAGCATCTCTAATATCATTTAAAAAAAATTTGATGTATATAAAGTTGCCAATTTGATTTCTTTTTATTCATTTTTATGTGCACCCCATAAATTGAAATTTTCTCTTTTAAGCACCCACTAAATAAACAAAATAAGTTGAAGTCCTCATATAAGGTAGATCGCTTAATTTTAAATAAACTAATTTATTACATATAAAATCGGTTTTTAGTTTCAAAAATTAAGTCAGATATTATCTACGGGATCGTTTATTTTGATAGGCAAAGCTATATAAAGGTCTAATTAAATAATTCATCTAAGTGATAGCTCTGAATTGGACCTTTTGCCCATATTAAAATTTTAATTATTTCTTAAATGACAAGTAGATCTCCTCTGTATAGGCTGCCCGAAGCCTGAGGGTGAGATCGGGCTCGCACATTAAATACTTTTCCCGAGCTCAGGTCGGCCTTCACAAGGCAGCCCGACCCGAACGACCTGAGGCCCGAAAATTAAATATTAGAAATATCCTCAATAATCATTTTGTTTTATCAAAATGTCAATCAGAATCACATGCCATTTTTATCTAAATTTCACTTATTTGTTTGCGTAATTTCCATTTCCAAAATTAACAATTTCCGATGATTGTGATTTGTATGGCATCAGTATTATTTACTTTTATCATATTCTATCATATATATTATATTCTATATTTAGCCAATATAAAATCTAGATTATTCTGTTATAACAGTCATGAAATATTTTCGTTTGATAATTTTTGTTTTTTTCTCAATGATCTGTTTAATTAAATAGCCTCAGATGATTATATTTATAAAATTGTTTATAGAATGGGTTCAAATTTGGAAATTATTTTTGAATAGATTAGAACGCAAGAAATGAAAAATCTGAAGTATATAAGAAATTCCTGTTATTATATATAATAAACAGGGTAAAAAATTCCAAACTTTTTTGTAAGGCTGAGGTCGGGCTGGAGCAAAAAATTTGTGCTTGGGTTAT